AAAGAGAAAATGGCTGTCATACCAATTGACTAAAAATACCATTTCGAACCGTTTTATTGCTTGCCAGGAGTATTCCGTAACGAATTATGTCTGGCGATAAAAGTGCATCTCCTACAATGTCAAGCACAAAAAGTCATGGTTTAGTCCAGGAAAGCTATCCACAGGGAATTCGAAGCAGAATATGCATGGCCATAAAGTTTTGCTACGCATATAGTGGAATCAACAAGGTGTAGTGTATTCCGAGCTATTAAAACCGAATGAAACTGTCACTGCAAATGTCTGCTAACGTCAATTGAACAAATTGAACGATGTATTGTTGTAAAAGAGAGGGACAATAGTGGTGAACAGAAGCAAATTCGTCCTCTTGCATGACAACGATCGACCACACTTTAGAAGGATACATTGTTGCAACTCGAATGGAGTTTTCTGCCGCATACACTACGCATAGCGTCGCCTAATTACCGCTTTTCAGCGTCGTTGCAGCATGGCTTGTCTGACGAAAATGGGTCGATCGTTCGCTTGTTGCCAAACCAATAAATGGGAAAAAATTGTAGAAACTGATTGAAAATATTTTGATTAATACATGTGTCAATTTTTTTCAATGAATGATTTTTCAAGCGAAAATGTTATGAAAATACATGCAAGCATGTAATGTTTGCATTGATAATTTTTGTAATATTATTGAGCATTTAATTATTTTGTTAATAAAAAAAAACCTGTCTATCAAAAAATTATAATTGCAACTATTTTTATTTCAGTGTTTTTCAATGAATTATTTGATCGTAAGGTGCCTTAATACAATAGGAATTCTAATTCTAAGACTGCTAGATCTTTGCTTTGGCAACATTCCGAATATAGTTGTAAATCGCTGTCTATCTTCTAGTTTACCTGAGAATCCGTATCATCCAGCTATTTGTATTTCCTTTGATTACAAGCATGATGATTTCTCGAACTACTCTAACGTGCTAAGTGCAACGTCCTCCAATAAATATTACGATTTTAACAAAGCTTATATTGATTGATTTCTCTACTGGAAATACTGAAACCTTACTGCCTTCGTTCTATAATGTGTTAAACTTAGCTATTTGTGCATCCGTTCCGATCAAGCAAACTTGTGCTCAGAACAGATGCCGGCCATGGTAACAAGACAATTGAATATTACAAAAATAGAAAAAATAAACTTTTCAAAAAGTTTATTAAAAAGGGTTTCGCTTACGACTACTTTGCGTATTCTGCATCAAAGCGTAGATTTAATTACCTCAGCTAAAAACATTATTGCAGATACCTTCAGTTGAAATAATCCTCACTTCTTATTAATCCTAGATATTCTTTTAAATTCGTCTGCTCCGAAAGAAAAATCTCCATATATCCCTCGCATGTTTCTTTCAGTGCTCTGAGTCCTTTCATAATATTGAAACCTCAAATCTCTTTGCTAAATACTTCCGACGAAATTTTTCTGCGGCTAATTCTGATTCAAATGTCAATTATCCGTAGCCAAAACCGAACCCGATTTTGATTCCTAACTTGGTCATTTCACGAAATTATTTTTTACATGGTTTACGGTCTCTAAAATATAGTTTTGCGCCTGGGCCTGATGTTATTCTATCGTGTATATTTAAAACATACTTTGTCGAGCTAACTGGTGCTATTTCAATGATTTTTAACCAGTCCTTGAGATCAGGTATTTTTCCTTTGTGTTGGAAGAGTAGTTTCCTTATTCCAATTCACAAATATGGAAGTAGACATCACATGGAGAACTACAGAGGCACCGCGAAGTTGAATGTCTTACCTAAATTGTTTGAACGAATTGTTACTCAGCATCTAGGTTTTGTTATTAAATCTCATATTTGTCCATTCCAGCACGGCTTTTGAAAAGAAAGATCTACTGCCACAAATCTCTTAGAGTTTACTTGCCTTGTTTTCAAGTAGTGGCTGGTTTTTTGTAGTGGCTCTCGCACGAATGTCGCATATACTAATTTTAGTAAAGCGTTTAACTTAGTTAACCATAATTTTTTGATCTTGGCTCATAAAATTTTATGAAACTGAATCTAAGAAAATGCAAGAAGCTTTCTTTTTCAAGAAGGATTCAATACTGAGAATTTCATCGTTTCACACAAATTATTGGAAAATGTAGATGCGTTTATCAATTTAGCAGTTCTATTCGACCAGACATTACGTTTGAATTTGCACATTGAGCTCTTTAAGTAAAGCCAGATCCGCGCTTTATTTCATTACACGGTGGTCCAAAGAAATGTACGTTTATATCTTCCTATGTGTGTTTCCTTCTTAATTAAGTTAATACTTTCAGTTCGTCCACGTTACTTGGTGAGATATCCTTTAAAGTTCCTAACTTTTTCTCTAGGCACTTTAATGTCATTAAGCTGAGTCAATGTAAACATAATTACGAACTGTTTAACCTGTTCAGAGGTGTTTGCGGAGATCTAAATGATGTATCACTTAATCTCAATATCGGATTTTTTAATGTCTATAAAAACAATTTTGCTTCATACGCGCGATTTGCCTATGTCGCATTTAAACTAACTTTTAGCCTTAACATCTGATTCGAAAATTAATTGTTGTTTACTGTATCGGTTGCCGAGCTTTTACATGTTTGCGATGTGTTAGGGGTTCACCTGCAATTTGTTTCAATAGTGGTTGTGGGTGTGCCTCTGTGCTAGTTGTGTGCATGCTTTTTTTCTTTTTTTTCCTTCTTATTTATTTATAAATGAATTATTAGATAACTTTTTTTCTATACTTTGTACTATCTTTTAATATTAAATAGTATAAAATTTACTTCTAAGAGTGAGTTGTTATTTGTTTTGTGATAATTTGTTTTAGTTGAGTTTCAAAAATAAATAAATTGTCGTGTTTGGCAAAATCCTTAATTATTTTAAAAATTATGCAATCCCTTTGATACTGCGTATTCAATTTTAGCGTGTCTTAGATGGAGAACGGATGGGCTAAAAATCAAGAAAAAGTCCATCAAGGAAGGCCTTAATCGTAAGTAATTCCTTTATTGTAATCCCCTATTTGCCAACGTATCGCTTTCGGAACCACCCATCAATTTTTGTCTGCATCCACTCTCTTTTACGGTGTTATCCTTATCGAACGTTTTGTCTTCCTGATTTGCTAAGCATATTGTCTCATTTATAGCATCATCTTGTGACTGTATTGAGCGCAGCCAACCGCTTCTATCAACTGCGATTTTAGGGGTTCGCGTATCCGCCACATCGGGCATTCTATTTAAGGCATCTACGTCCTTCATGCGTGTGGAATTTAAACGTTCAATTTATATATCAAAGTCCTGCATTCGAAAGTTATGGTACCGGAAAATGATTCTATGTTTTCTTTCAGTGAGGAAATCGTCATCGAATACAACTCCTCTGCAAATATTGCTTCGAATTCAAAGAATGAATGCCTTGCAAACAACTGTTTTAACGGCTTTACAGTTGAGAGAGCAAATTCGCAGCACAATCCAACTCTTTGCTTTGTCCTTGTGAAAATAATGATAGTAAAAAAGTTCGCCTAGCATCGAATCTCTTTTTCTTGAATATGTCAAATCATTTCGACGCAACTACCACGGATTGCTATCTATACTATCTGAAATTATTTCTCGCTTCGATTATAGTTCGACACAACTACCACGGATGATTTTCTATACTATATAAAATTATTTCTGACTCTGCGGGATGCTTCCAATTCCGTTACACTACTTAAAAATGTGTAAATTTTTTTTTAAAATATATTTGATACATATATATAACTACCTACGTTGTTTTATGATTTCTGTAAAAGTTTCGAATCCAGAAAGCGGCTTTTCAATAAGTATAACAAACAGTTGGACAAGGCTGTGCTTTAGGTCAAATTTTTGACAGGTAAGTAATATATTGTTCAATGTAAATAAATAAGCGTTTAATGTTAATCAAAGTATAATTATAAGTCAAATTGTTTTGGTAAATCATTGGAAACTATCCATAGCTCTTGATTCTCTCGATTCTTTGTTGGGCGTCCGTGACCGTCTTTCTTAACGCAGATCAAAGAAGTAGCTTTTAAAAATTGAAAGAGATAATAGTGCGATAAATTATTAGAAGCGCATGACGTATATTGGTAGAAGAAAAGTTTCATTTTATTAAAATCAAATAAGCAGAAGTCTTTGTATTTATATTATGAGGGCGGCAATGTTTCTCGACAGACAAAGATGATGCTCTGTATAACAATTGCAGCAATCATTAATTATATATTATTATTCAGGAAAGAATAAGTCAATAATAGATTCTTAACACACTCTGGGTTTTCAGAAAGTGTGTTTCTATAAAAATAAGAAAGCACATAAACCAAGTTTTCGTTTTTACTTCTTGTTAGTGCCCACTCTTTCAATACGTGTTACTTTCCACTTGCGATTGGTTTTCAGCTCCCTTGTACGACGTACGATCAGAAGTAAGATAGGCATGGACGTGCAATGACATGAAAAGATTAGATTAAAAAATAAACAATTCAGAACTGACTTCGAATACACAGTTAAAAGTTGTTTTAAAAATAATTTAGTCGCCGTAACGAAGCGAAGCCAGGAGATCTTCAGATTTTTGCTATAATACTAGATAGACCTGCGCACAGAAAATAGTTTTATGTCCATTAGAGATACAAGCAACTGTTAAAGCTAAACTCTGCGTTCCAGGTTAGACGCATATATGTTAAAAAAATATAAAAATTCTTTACGATACAGAGCGTCTCATAGCTAAATTAAAACTAACGAAGGAAATAAGATTTTTCATTTATATTTTTGAATAACAGTTATCATTTTATTTATTGCTTACTTAAACGTGCTGATCGATCATCTAAGTTAATACAAATAAGGATTAAGAAAAAAATGTCATATTTGTTAATTTTTAGTACATATAAAAAATATGAATCGTTGTCTTTTTTAATTATTTTTGATTAATAGTTTTGCCTTTCTCAATACATTTTAACATTTTATGCTATTTAAACAAAAATTGATGGCATTTTTACCTATTATACCTTTTGTTTTTTCCTTTTTATATTTCTTTTTTTTTATAGTTCATTACATTGACGTTATGTAAATTGTTGAGCTGTTTTGATTAGGATTATGTTATGATTTTAAGTTGCATTGTTTTTAAATATATTTTAGTGTTTAACGTTACAACACTTTTCGTATACGTATGTATTTTTTGTTTTTATGTATATGGATTAAAGATACGTGATAAAATTGTTGTTGTTGGCATTGTTTTAATTTTGCGAATCGGTTTACCTCAAAGGGTTCCGATTCTTTAAACGCTAGCGGTTTCTTTTAGTCTTTCTGCTAACATTACCCTCGATGATAATCTAGATGAATTAAAACGAACATATATGTTAAAAAAATCAATATATTTTCAAAATAGAATGTGAACATATAAATATTCCTTGACTGATTAATTTTCGTATATCTTGACACCTCCTATTTGGGACATTTGAACATCTGAAATACATTTACATTAATAATAGTAAAACTATAATTCTACAATTTATTTAAATAAATGAACAATAAAAGTTGAATAGCTTCTTTGCAAACGTATAAATTGGTGCCGATAAAAAAAAATTAATTAAAACGAGAAAGAAAACTATATTCGGCCGTGGCCGAACCTTTTATACTCATCACGTGATCCTAAAAAAATAGGAAAGGACTAAATGTTCATAGTCTACAATATTGGATGGACGCGGTTAATGTTTTCTATTTTTAGAATAATAGTGGAAATTCATAGAATATATATTTTGTAATTTATGACAACAAAAAAAACGGAAAACAACGGCGGCCACAGTTTTGTTACATGGATGTGGGGGCTTTGTAGGCATGCTCATTGAAAAGCTTACGTCATTTTCAATTCCTTGCAATTATAAGCTATATCTTCATTTTCGCGAACCGGAGAATGTTTACCACAGATACTACGCTGTTGCGCAGATGGAGAGATGGAAAAATCAATGGACGGACATACTTACGCGCATTCTGAATATGAAACCGGCCAAGAATTTACATACTCTATGGAGTTTTTTAGGCTTGTCTCTGTGCGTTGTAAAAGTTTAAAAAAAAAATTGTGCCACACTATAAAAGTAAATAGCGATTTCTTCCATTTTTGAAGGTAATTTAGTTTCGCCCACTGAGTAGAAGTGCAAATTTTTGTACATTTATCTCTTGTGATTTATGAGTAACGGGCAAAACACCACTTTTCTATTCCTTTTGAAAAACAGAGGTGCTCTCAGTTTATGTGGTACTGTACACGTGCCCATTGTCCGATTTGGCTCATTTTCAATACCAACCTTCAAACCAACCTTCGTGCAAAAAATCCCAATGTTTTTGCTAGCTCGCAAAGCGACAGCTTCATTTTTGCGGAGAGGAGAATATTTAGAAGAGACTTTACACAGACGGACAGACAGGCAGACGAGCATGGTTAAATCAGTTCAGAGTTCAACGCTGATCCGGAATATATATACTTTGCGGGGTCTCTGCACCTTCCTTCTGGGCGTTGCAAACATTTTGACCCCTCATTTTTCGGTGATGGGTATTAAAAACTTAAATAATTGAAAGATTGTGTCTACCTAAATACATTAATGCTCTTTGAAAAGTTAGAGTTCGAAATTTTAGTGCACCGAAAGTCTCCTTTTTATCGGTCATAAAATTACATTTGTTTCACAAATGCTGATTCATGTCTTTCTGTTAATCCCCCACTGTATACTGTGAAAGTTATTAAGCATTTTCTGAGTAAATTGACAAAACAATTTGACGATGCGATTTTTTCAAAGCTTGGCGAAGGCAATGGTGTAAAGTTGTACGTATATTTAACTAGCAAAGATACAAACCAAACACTGTTAACAGGGCTTTGTTATGCCGTTAACCGAGTTTTCTTTAATGGAGTCGCGGAGAGATTTAAAGCAAAATTTAGTAAAACTTTTTCAGGATTTTTTTAGATACTACAATAAAAAATGCGACTTTATCTTAATTAATTAAAACTTACAAGGCTGAAAAAGTGAAAGTTTACTTAACCATTGTCACCGATGCAAGTGATGCGAACAAATGAAACTAATATCACGTAGATCTTTTATCAATGACCAATCCAAGCTATATATATAATGTGAACTTGCAACAAAAAATGTAGGCAAATTGTAATGTTCACATATTACATATATATGTATATATCGTCTTTCCCTGCTCATTACGCAAACTAAGTTATGGTTGTATGAAACAGGGAATGTAGGAAAATGATAAGGTTCACTTATTTTTTATTATTTTATATATATATATGAATAAGAAATGAAAGTAAAGAATTCTATATTATCAGAAATAAGTTTCCTAAAAATTTTGCTATCATTTTTCGAACATTATAGAGTATAGTGCACTTATTTTCTCTCTTCTCATATTCCTTTGCTTTTAAAAGCAAAGTTTGGTATCTGCTGTCCATAGTCGCTATCCCAACTTCAGAGTACAGTGTATGTACTTTCTCTCTTCTTCTATATCTATTTGATCATCGTTAGAGCAATAAATGCCTTTATTTACATTTCTTTATGCACAAACATACGAAACAGAATATTTGCAATGAGAATGAAACATATTCCAAATGCTTAATATTGTTGCGAAACATTGTTTCGGAACATGATGCTAAATATGATAATTTTCAAAGTTCACAAACAAGATGTAACAGCAGCTATGTTAAAGCGTGAAGTTATTTTTAAATTTAACCAGCAAAGATACAAATCAACAATTTTTCCCCGAACTGTTCATAACTATGATGTACAGTTGGAATGGTCATTGATCAAGTATTGCATCACTTGGATTGGTAACAGTGACTTTTCAAAGTGTGCTATGCTATGAGTAATATGTAAGCAGAATAGATTTTCAAGTGCCAAAAAAAATTTTCCCCAAGAACTCTACATAAATGTGATAGACAGTCGGATTGGACATTGGTTAAAGATCTATATGATATTAGTTTCGTTTGTTCGCATCACTTGCATCGGTGACAATGGTTAATTAAACTTTCACTTTTTCAGCCTTGTAAGTTTTAATTAATTAAGATAAGGTCGTATCTTTTTATAGTATCCAAAAAAAACCTGAAAAAATTCTACTTTAACTAAATTTTGCTTTAAATCTCCCCGAGACTCCATTAAACAAAGCTCGTTTAACGGCTTAACAGAGCTCTGTTAAAATTTTTTGGTTTGTGTCTTTGCTCGCTAAATTTAAATATAACTTTACACCTTTGGCGAAGTCGAAGAGTCCTACAACCTTTGATGTTCGTAGACCTTACCATTTGCAAACTCAAGAAGTCAATCGCGAACTTACACAAAAGTCCTATGTATTGCCATATACGTTTGTTTAAATAGTTATACGTGAAATAAACTTACTTGCATTATCTGGCTCGCCTCGAAAGCTGTGCCTGGCAGTAATATAACTGGTGACGAGACATGACCAGCCTCCACACACAACATGTTAGGAAATTCATCATCGCCAAAATCGGTGATTTCTCGCGCCTTATCGACCCAAGGGTTCCATATTACGGTATCGGGAAAGTTATACTTATGTATTCGCATTTTACGACCGGATACTACATTCGTTACAATATGTTCTTGCGGTGTATGTTGATAAATCCTATCGGTCCATTCATTAACGGCGACAACTTCGCGACCTTCTTGATAAATAGCACCATCACGAGTCTTATCGTATAGAGTAAAAAAGATTTTAGTATAGACTATAGAATAATACGAAGTTAACAAATTTCACGGTACCTTATCTATGAATGTACAACCATGTAATCCGGTAATTTGGCAGCGCCTAACATCAGGAACTTTTAAATAAGTATGCAATAATAAATTGAATGTAAACGATAATTCCTTACTAGGATTGTATACTCCTATATGGAAATGTAATTCCTTTTCACGTAAAATTAGGCGATACGTTATGCGAAATCTACAAACAAAATTAACATATACTCGAATCACTCAAATTTGCCTTTAGTAAAATTTCAAACCCTACTGGTAATTCCACATGGATCGAGTAAATTCATTATCCATGAGGGAAAATATAGCCTCGACGTCACCGTTATGCAACCTTTCGGGAGGCCTTTCTAAATTCCAACGTGTGATGCGGGCAAATCCATGTTGTGCTCCGAACGACCAGGCACCATATTGAGCTGCCATGTAAATACATAACTGTAAATGACAAATTAAGAGTCCTAATTTAAAAGTACTTACGAAATACGAATGACACTCCTCCACGTATGGACCTTTTGCCGTCAAACGATGCCAATTTACTGCGAAGAACCCAAAAAAAATAAATAAATAAAATTTAAGCTAAAATTAGCCTTATATCACATGGTATTAGAAGGGTCTGAAGTTATCTTTAAATGTAACTTTTCAAATATTAATTAATTTACGTAAAGACTTGTTTTGTCTGTAACATTTTGGGAAAAAATTCTCAAAAAGTTATATTTTAACTATATTTTGACTTAAATCTCTTCGAGATTTCGTTTAACATAATTCTGTTAGCGGTATAACATATCTCTGTAAAAAAGTGGTGTGTCGTTGCTAGGTATATTTAAATATAACTTCATATCTTTTGATATTAGATGCGTGTCATTAAAATAATAGTAACTAAGTTTTCACTCATTTCATTTGAAGTTATATCCGAGACAACGAAATGACAAGTGGGCCAACACATCGTTCCAAGTTCCAGTTAGGAAACTATTGCGCAATTTAATGTTTGTGTTATCAATAACAGTAATAATGCGATTAATCATTATTTGTTGGGGAAAAATTCTTTTATTGGTGTTTTGCAATTGTAACGCGACGATTTATTTAATGTTGGGTAAAAATGATTAATTTCTTAAAAGTTTCCCTCTATATCTTTTTTGTGAAATCTTGGTTTCTTTTGTGCATTCGTTTTACGTTCCCTTTTTTTTAACAAACTCTACTTCACATATATTTAAGAAATATCATGCATCCCTTTTTACATATATTTTTGTCTTTTTCCCTTAAAAAAACGTAAGAAAAACTAGCAGATTTGTGCTACAAATAACAAAGAATCGTCTGCGTTCTTTTTTCTGAACGCTGCTATGAGAAATAAAACGTAATTACATTACACTTAGGCCAAACTTCTGAACAACTTTTGTTTTTTTTTTTTAAATAAGCATATTTTTAACCTTAGATATACGTGTTTTCTTCATCGAAAACATAGGAGAGCAAGCAAAATACGTACGAGAGCAAGCAAGGTACGTCATATAAACGTAAACATCCTCTTTTAAAATCGTAACATAAAGGATTCTGCCAGACGTAACATGTACATTGCATATGCAGAAAGCCCTGAAGCATTTTAGTTAAATCTAGCTACCTTAAGGAATTGATTAAAAGTCTGAAATCGAAAAATATAAAAATTGTAATCTCCCTGCTCTAAACAAGGTCTAGAGTCGTACTAGTCTTCCATAAATAACAAAAATATTAACATTACGTTAATTTTTGCACATTTTCAAAAAAATTTAACTACTACGGTATCATATTGGATAACGCTGCGACTTGTCCCTTTCAAAACATAATTTAGACTTCCCGAGGCCTACATCATTGTGTATCAAATTTGAGAAAAAGTTGTGTTAACAAAAGATTTCATTTAACTCGTGGCAGATAAAGATAATATAAATGAAAAGTTTCCCTTTCCTCTTTTCATTAAAAGTTTTCGTCTTTCAAAGGCAAATTTTGCAATTGGTTTTGGGAGGCTGGCCTACAAAATTTCAGCGGACTACGGGTGACGCTGGATACCTCGAGTTAGGTGCACAGGAAACGCTATTGGCGGAATTACTAAATTATGACGCTCATGGACACGAAGGGTAATAGATCATGGCACGACATTAGTATCGACCGTAAACTCGAATATACAGAGTGCCAATATCCTGCTCGTGCATATATTTGATGTGATTTGACTTATGTAATGTTTTATGATGACACCTGGTACATGTCATTCTGTAGAATGCTGCCGATGAAAACTGATGCAATTCAGCTGACAATCAAATGTCTCAGGACGTCGAAAAAGATGTTGCGAAAATAATTTTGGGCCATATACCGCGAGAACGATTCGAGAAGTCCGAGAAACACTCAACCCGGCTTTGCTACACTTCTCAATATACATCTTCTCATTTACGCTTTTTTTAACCGATAACTTATGATGTTTCTGAGCAGCGCTTCCACTTTCTGCCCTTGTTCATCTCATTCGATGCCTATCCTATTACGGTCAAAACAATGGTATTCTCTTTAAATAATCATTCCCGCATGTTGTTAATTCTCTTTAATAAAATTGCACAAAAAACTGACCTTATTACGCTAATTTAAATAGGAATTAAAAATAAGAATTTCAACTAACTGAAGATCGCTCCATAAATCGTTAATTATGAGCTTGGCAAACACTTTTAAATTGTTTCCCATCTTTTCGTATCTGCGGACAAGTCAAGGTAGGAAGATATAGAGCTAGGCAAGGATAAAAATTCATTCGAAATTTTACTTTAATCAAGGATATAGCGATTATGTGTTTCGTCCTATATATATCTGAATTTTACCAACAAGTTATGGCGCCGTCTACACACCAATTTTTTGTGTAGCAATGAGCTAATTGTGATTATTGTATGCCTATTAACTGATCTTCTCTATTTATAAAACGCTAAATCTAGTCTTGGAATTTTGGAACGCTCGTTTGATTTTTCTTCTAATCCCTCCATAGAATTAAAGCTCGTTAGGTTGTATCTATCTACATTTTGTCCTTCTGTTACAATATTGTGAACATGTTTGCTATTTTAATACATATTAATTAAATCGTATTTTCAAATGACGCAGACATATATAGGAACCCTACTAGTCAGAAAATAAATATGTTAGACGTTAATGAATGATAAATATGTTTCGAAAACAAGAAGTTTCTTCTTATAAATTAACACTGTGTAAAACAGTCTTGACAGTTGAATCGAAGATTGTGGAAATCTCATTCAGAAGTTTCTCGCAGTTGTGTGAACAACGATAATCGTTCAAGGCCCTCCTTGTTCACATGCGAAGGATGTGAAAACATTTCTATATATTTTCATTAGCGTAGACATTCATGCAGAAACGTGGTTTATTAGTGCTGGAAAAAAGCTAAGTAGCTAAGCGTTGATCGTTATTGGGACCTCATTTTAATGAAAATTCAAATTCGAATTGCACCCGCCAAATTCTGATATTAGCAGAAGCAGAAAAATTAAAAGAGAAACACTGATTTCAAATTATTCTCGTCGTTTAGTTATGACCTATAAGAAATGTGCGCCAAATACCTATAGAGGGTCCTTAAAAGTATGGTACTAAAGGGATCCCAATTAGCTTTCTAGCTCTCAAAAAAGATTTATGTTATTTTACTATATTTATCTGAAAGGTGAGCTTTTAACGTTCGACCTAAAGCATATCCAAATTTCTTGTTTGTCATTTTTTTATATTGCGTAAGAGAAAAACTACTAAAGTTTTTGTTTTGAAGCCCAGAACAACCATTATAAAAGACAGGCATATAGAATATGCCGTTAGTAGAGTTAGAACAATATAATGGAAGCAAACACACAGCAAAAGAATGAAAATGCAATGGACTAACTTGAAAAACAAAACTTTGCTCCCTAACAACCGAAATATTCAACCAAACAAGCAATCTACCGACCGACCAGCCAACCAAATAACAAACCAACCAGCCAGAAAACCAAGCAACCGACCAACTAACTAAAAACTAAGCTGTGTGCAGAAAAACAGTTCAAAACGTTTAATACGAAAACTTATGGGAAAAAAGTATCAAAATGATACCAGTAGCGGCAGCAAAAGCATCTACAATAACTACTACAACTAATGTCATATTTTGTTTGTTGTCTGCTTACGAATAGTTAGCTAGGGATGATATCGAATGAAAACGGTCAAAGCAATGAACGCAACGCAAGTAAGGGCACAAGCATACACATATTTATACTAACAAAAGAAAAAACAATCGTGAGCAAAAAGTTAAACAACAACGAAAGTTGGCGGTAGCTCGGATTGGCCAGGATTTATCGATCTAAGCGCGCAATTCCATTCATAAAAACCTTGGTTAGTATTGTTTTGATGTTGGCGACGTCTGCAACAGCAACGGCCACGAACGCAGAGCCATATTGCGCAGCTACAGCGGCGTAAAAACTCACATAAAGAATGTATTTTTTGAGTTTGTTTGGAAACATGAATAACACCACAATCAGCATCACCCGTTCATTACTACTGCTAATGCAATGACGTAAGCTTTTAATGGCTTAGTGAACAAATGTTGCGTTCAAACTTGCTTGCCACTGTTTGTCTATCTACGCGAGAGATAGTCGCCTCCAATATCGTTGTCGTTGCCTTTGTCCATTTGTCTTTCAAGCAGCATCCGCCTTTGTTTGCTTCTCAACTTTTGTACGGTTTTTTGTTTCTTGAGCAGCTTCGTACCCAGCATTAAAAACCGAAGGCATACCAAACTTCTTTATCGGTTCGTAACAAACGAAATATTATTTAGAAGGTAACTGCTTCTTCAGCTGCTTGTATTATGGATCGGCCTATTTGTCTGCTCGTATGTGATTGAAAAATTGCACTTACTTTTAAAAGCCAATTTCTCAATACAGATTATTCATTCTTGCATGACCTACCGACCTATTTAGAGTCCCTGTCTGTGGCTTAAACTAATTACAGCAGTAAAAAGATTACGAAAGTTAGACGTGAACAGTCAATAACCGTTACCCTTTGATACAAAATATAAATAATTTTTCCTCATTGTATTCAAAATAAACTATTAACTTCGAGGCGAGAATTTATATGTTTTGTAAATTGATTAAATAAAATGAAAATGGGCAGAGGTTTATAGGTCTATACGGCATTTGGAACAACAAAGAAGCTCTGTCCTGGATTCTAGATAGATTATTAAAGATAATAGTAAGAGCAGGTTTAAAAATTCTATGATGTTAAAGAGAGTAGCCTAGGATGAATTCAGACCTTCGTGCTTATTTGCTCATCATGTGTATTTCTAAAGTAGCGCGAATTTAATTAATTTTCTTTATTCTTATGAGATGCTTTCAAAAAATTGTAATATTTATACCCTACACCACTTATGATACGGGATACATTAAGTTAGTGTGGTCGTATGTAACACGCAGAAGGGTTTAGATAGATACTGATCCATTCAGAATCATAATCTGAATTGATCTAAACTTTGGACTGGCTTGAGCAATTTTTAAACCCCCTCATTTAACGAAGACTGAAGTTCATACTGCAAGAAGGTACAATTTTCAATGCTTCATGATGAAAATTATATCATAAAAGTTATTTAATATAAAAAATTAACTGTGTCCAATTTGGATCATCTCGGCAAATTTTTTGGATCTTGATGCATTGTAGAGCAGAAAAGCAGAAAAGTTTTAATATATGGTAATGAATATTAATCCATAATAGTAATTTCATACAAAAATGGGGCGTTATAAAATGTGGACCATCTACGCTTATTTTTGGAACCTGCCCTATGTAAGGATTAAGCTTATAGTACATTAGGTTGCGTTTTGGGCCCGCTGCCCCATGAATACGCACGTTTGCCTCACTGTATATAAGATATTCCAGAAGTACTAAGTAGAGTAGAGAGTTCGGAAAAGGGTTAATTTCTAATATTTTCTGTTTAAAATCAATTCATAGTAGCGTTTCAGCTACTGGTGGTGGTGGTTTGAAGGGTGGTGAATTTGGATCACAAAAGTCCATTTTTTCGGACCCCAGTATATACAAACTCTTATGTGGGAAGAAAATTGCACTTTCCAAATAATATATACCTTTTGCAGTATTATCACCAAAACGACGGGCGAAGTGATGTAAAGTATGTAATAGTCGGCGTTGCTTGATTATAATGTTCTTACTTGGTGTCATTGAATTTATATGTTTAGTTTAAGAGAATCTGAAAATTTTACCCTGAATTATATCTATTGTAAGAATGATAATTTACGGATCATAGACCGACATTAGATATAAGAAAGAGAAATTAATAAATACACACCTTACAAACAATTGTTCTTGATTATTTACACGCCATGATACAACCGTCGCACCTAAAATAAAGAAAAAAAAATTTAGGTATTATTTAGCATTATTACTTAGCACATTCACGTTTGAGCAGTGAAAAAAAGCTATTGACCTCAAATAAAATTCGTGTACCGTGTTAATTTTTCGAAGGAGTCTAGTTTGCAGAATTTTTTATTTTTGCTCATATTAAGCAACTATTTTTGTGTACTAATGAGAATGTAATAATTAACTTCTCGTAATTTTGCATGAGAAACCGTAACTAGATAGCGGCTTCTCCGAGCGAAAGTATTACTTTTAGTCCACGACACAATATAAGTCCCTTCTCTAAAGAAAGTGCCAATGAATCTATTGTACCGTTAATCGACAAATAGCACCATCATATGGAGGAATCAAGTGTGTGCAGTGTATTATGAGTTTATGACTTTGAACTGCCAGCTAGTCCCAACTGTTACAACTGTGACGAACTGCGTACTCTATGTTAGCATAGTACTAAAAGAGGTAATATGATGAAAAGAGGTAAGATGATGGTCGATTATAAACCGATCGAAGAAACTTGGGAAACGTTGAACACGTTGAATACTCCTCTCACTTTGTCCCCTGTACATTGATTCTTTTGATGAACGCTTGACTTACTGTGCGCTTGAATAGTGCCCCAAATTTTCACTAATGTTCAAGTGTAAGTTTAGAAAGATGGTTATCTTTTTAGTGATTCGCGACAGACAATATTTTCTTATATATTTTACACACATTGTATACATAACATTTTTTTTCCTTATAAAAAATTTTACTAGAATATGATTTAAACTTATTTACATTCTCAATTCCCGTTTTGCAAATCATACGGATTAATGGATAATGGAAGCAGTTCAATACACTATTTGGGTACATACTAGTATAACATTCTTCACGAGATGTCTGGTTCTTATTTCTGGTTGTTAAATTTAAAATGTACAAGTACGGAAAATGAATATCCTTTTCCCCCCTAATCCTTTTCTGCCTACGTACGATTTTATTCGCCAAATGCAATGTAATCTAATGCCATGCACATTTGCGGAAAATTCTTTTACATTAATCATGCTTCTAATTATTCTAAACTTTTAAAGTTTTTTTTATAATTATATTTGTTTAAAGAAATTAGAAAAAGATATTATATAATCTCGAAACTGAAATGTATATGTACAACAAGATATAATTTTTGCTTTAATAGATAATTTAAATCCAACAATTCAAATGCATTCGTTAACCAAACAGGCAGAAAAAATTTAGAAATATTTAAACACAAACGCCTCGACAGATTACATTGCTGGTACGATGCTGTTTAGAGTATATTTATATTCACGAACAATATAAAAACATATATAAGTAAATTGAAAATTACAAACTTAAGCTCAACCCACATCTAAAATTATAAATAATATAAAATATAAATAAAAGAAAAACAATAAAACGAATATAAAGAATAAAATCCACTACAACGGCAGATAAGTTCTTTGTGAATTCACTCCTTAAAGTGATTGAGAAAAACAAGAATGAAGTAATACATACGTGTACAAAAAATCCATTTCAAACAAATTACAGGCAGTTTCAAAGAAAGGAAAATTTTTCATTTATTTTAAAAATCTTATAGAGGTTTCAAATGAATAAAGCACTGAATATAATGTTTGCGCAACATAATGTTACATAACGCTAAATAAGCGTTTATATAAACGTTAATGAAGCGCAAAATTAATAATGCGAGAATTAATAAGAAGAAAAAATGTTTCTTCCATATAGAAATAGATAGCAATATACTTCGACTTCATTTTTCCTTTTTTTTTTTTTTAATAAAAATTAGCGCTTTAATACCATATTGTGCTTTAATCTAAGGGTGTGAAGATAAATTCGAATTTAACTAGTAAAGACACCTACCATTTCTGTTAACATACCGCTGTTAACGACTTAACAGAGCTCA